ATGAGTATTCTCACAGAAAGGTTTCCTTGTCTGAGGTAAGTATGCGTGTCACTTGCCAGTGCTTTTCAGTGGCTCCACTGAAGTCTGTTTTTCTTTTTTAGCAATGCTAGACCAAATAAATGCAATTTTAATAAGATAAAAACGAGGCTCCTTTAAGTCTGAGCTTGAACTTTGTTGGAACATTTTCTACTCAATAAACACAAGTGGTTTGCCTATGAAGAATTAATGAGTTTCCCGCTCTGCTGGGAGGGAAAGGCCTGAAATCTTTGATAATGCTGCAGAGACTTTTATGAAAATGACATGCAAATAGTGCCCTGCAGGCCAAGCTGCCTACTGTTTTGAATATAAATATATTGGGAATAGAAGAAGCATGTGAATGTTAGAGGCAAGAGAGACTGGCAATTGTGACAGGTGGTCTATGTGGGTCACTTTCTGTATATACAGTGCTACCACTGTGCCTGTCTTGGCCATGGTGTGTACTTGGTTTCTGTTTGGATGCCAGGCTTCACACAGGCAAGCCCACTCTGCCACCCGTCCAAAACTGCACCCTGTGCAAATTCTCATTTCGGCCCCCAGGATGAGGAACTTAAAGACCAGAGAGCTGACTTGCCTTGAGCTTTATCAGCCAGTAAGTATTGGCACTGGAATTTGAACCCGGGCCTTTTGACTCTTCATCCTGAGAACTCTGCACCAGAGTCAGACAGCTCTGTAAGATTTGGAGAAAGGACACTCTAGGTTCTGTATGATCTGAGTAACTATATACCTTTTTTCTCTCTTGACAAATAGCACATATCTGATTCTCCTGGGTTCTGTAAAATTCAGGTAGGGCACAGGGCCGTGGGGGCTTGCTTCTTGCCCCAGGATGTTCTGGAAGTCACTGGGAGGACTGGAAGGTTGGGGCTGAAATAAGGCTCTTCACTCTTTTGACTTACTGTGGTCAGTGACTGCTACAGGTGGTTAATTATAATGGGTCAGTTGAGATGGGTGCACACGGGCACTTCTTGGGACTAGTTAGGGTTTCCTCATGGAGTATTGGCTGGGGTTGAAGAGAGAAAACCCAGACAGTCAAGTTGAAGCTCTAGACAGAGTTCATCAAACTTGTTAGTTCTCCCATTTTATATCCTGTGTAACTGCACCCACCCCTCATATCCCATGTAACTGTACCCACCCACTTCAAATCTATGTAGCTGTACTTACCCACTTAAAGTGTGAGACTTCCTCCATTGCTCTTCACCTTTTCACTGAGGCGAGGTGGTCTCGACTGGCCTGTGTGGTGCCATTGGTCCTGCTAACCAACCTTCTCCAGGTTTCCTCTGTCTTCACCTCCTCAGGTTGGAATTACTGATGAGCCACCATGCTCACTTACACATCTGGTATTTACGCGGGTCCTGGGGTTCCAGATTCCTGTCCTTTTAACTACTGAGCCATCTTCTCAGCCCCATCTGTCTAGAATTTTCTGCCTGCCCCCCTTTTCTTAGGTTCAGGTATACCACTTTTTCAAGGGATGTAATGTGAGCTCATGCTGTGTTCCCATAGGAATGACTGCAGGGTGTTATAACACTAGGCTACTGTTCTCTTTGATAGAGACACTGTTCTGATGGCCGTACAGGAAAGGATAACACACAGTTCTGGATGTGGACATCTTTGGTAGGACTGGTATTTGCTGGACATACAGCATGAATGACACAGAAGGAATTCTCACTTTGCAAATCAGTAAGAAGGCGAATCTTTGTTAGCAGATGGACACAGGAGATGAATAGTTTACAAAAGAAGAGGTACTGGTGAAAAATATCTGAGGCACAGAGCCAATGTGGAGATTGCTTCTGTCCAGTTAGCGGGGTCTGGCCATCTGCCAGCCCTTGTTGCGGGAGAGGGAACTACTTGACTGTCCTTTGGCAGCATGGCCAAACCTCCTTAAGTGTGTGCCTTCTGCCAGGGCATTCCCATTGCAGGAACTTGTCCTTAGGAGGTTATCGAATGCTGTGGAGCCATTCCTCTCCAGAGGTGTTCTTACAATCCTTGTAACCACAAACAGCTTTAAATCAGTTCTGTATTTCACAGTCAACCTTGGGTAAACTCATTATGTTGTAGCCATATGGCAGCACAGTGTGAAATTAGAAGTGATGCTGTCCAGGGAGGTGGCTCAGGCCAGAGATGAGGTAACCAGAGCTCATTCTAGTCCTGTGGGGTTTAAAGCGTTTAATGTTGAAATAATTAAGATTTACAAGGAGTTACAGAGGTATGTGTAGGGAAGGCCGAGCACTCTCTGCCTCAGAGTAGCTTTTGCATTTACATATGCTGCTTGTAGGCTCCTTCACATCAGTAGCACATCTGAAGGTAAACAGATGATTTTAATAAACTGAGGAGGAAGGAGGTAATAATACGGAGAAAGATTTCACATTACAGAGTCAGTAAGGTAGGACTTCATTTTTAAAAAAGATTTATTTTCATTATTATTTCAAAATCTTTTATTTGTATTTATATATTTTATTTTTTAATATGTGTATATGTGCTATAGCATGTAGGTAGAGGTCAGAGGTCAGCTTGTAGGAGTTACTTTCTCCTTCCACTATATGGGTCCTGGGGATTGAACAAACTTAGTGTGTCAGGATTAGGGGCAAATAGTTTTATCCACTGAGTTGTCGTAGTGATCCTAAATTATTTTTCTCTCTCTCTTTTTTAACTTATAATTATGTTTATGTGTGTGGTGGTGGAGGGATGTGTGTATGAAGCAGGTGCCCATGGAAGCCAGAGAGGACATTTGGTTATTTGAAGATGGAGTTATAGGTAGCTTTAAGGTGCCTGATGTGGATGGAATTGAACCTGTGGTCTCTGCAAGAACTGTATGTCCCCTCTCTCTGTATGTCCATCTCTCCAACCCCAGGATTTCATGGAAATGGTCTTCTAAGCTTTTCCTTGCTGTGGATGGGAAATCAGTACTGGACAATGTGCAGAGAGAGAGAGAGGGGGGAGGGAGGGAAGGAGGGAGGGAGGGAGGGAAGGAGGGAGGGAGGAAGGGAGGGAGGGAGGGAGGGAGGGAAGGTGAGAGTACACGCTTGGAGAAGCTAGTCTTAAATGGGACAGGGTTCATCAGACCCCTGTCTTCAAGGCTCAGGGATCTGTGCAGAAGACGTTGGGTGGCTGCAAGGACATCCAGCAGGACGATCCACATACTCATGCACAGAGACTGACAGCAGGCATAAGACCTGCACAAGTTTAAACCAGATCAAATCCCAGCACTGAGACGAGGAAGCGGACACACAAAGTCTCATCCTTAATCAAGAGACTGTTTGAAAGGGACAATCTGTCTTCTCCAGGGAATCTGACTGGGCATATCAACCACACTCCAGAGTAGTTGGCTGACACAAAATGCACTCTGGGTTGTTTCGTGCACTTTTTGTTTTGTTTTTTAATCTTGCTGTTTTGATTTTTCTTTTTCTTTTTTTTTTTTTTTTTTGTTGTTTTTTTGTTTTTTTCGAGACAGGGTTTCTCTGTGTAGCCCTGGCTGTCCTGGAACTCACTCTGTAGACCAGGCTAGCCTTGAACTCTCCAACTCAGAAATCCGCCTGCCTCTGCCTCCCAAGTGCTGGGATTAAAGGCGTGCGCCATCACTGCCCGGCTGTTTTGATCTTTCTTTCTTTCTTTCTTTCTTTCTTTCTTTCTTTCTTTCTTTCTTTTTTTGACGTTGGGAGGATCTGAGAGGATCTGGCGAGAGAGATCAAGTATGGTCTATTAAAAGCAAATCATCCTTTAACTCACTTAAAAATATTTGTGTGTGTGTGTGCACGTATGCACGTGTCACAGTGCTTGGATGGAGATCAGAGAACAACTTTGGGAATCAGTCTTCTCCTTTCACCATGTAGCCAATTGAACCCAGGGATTGGACTCAGGTTGTCAGGCTCGGCAGACAGAGCCTTTACCAGCTGAGCCATCGTGGTCCCAGGATTTCATTAAAAAAAAAAAACATAGAAAGCATACATGTGGGCTGGAGAGATGGCTCAGCAGTTAAGAGCACTAACTGCTCTTCCAGAGGTCCTGAGTTCAATTCCCAGCAACCACATGGTGGCTTACAACCATCTGTATTGGGATCCAATGTCTCTTCTGGTGTGTCTAAAGACAGCTACAGTGTACTCATATACATAAAATAAATGCTTTCTTAAAAAAAAAGCATGCATGTGCTAACATAAATTGCTTTTTATATCTCTCTGCACACTTTTTTCTCCATCAGAGTCTTGTGTCAGACCCCCAGAGTGGTATGCCAGTTAGGATGTCTGATGACAGTGGCTCTGATGGGTAGGGATTCCTTTGTCTCCTGTGCCTGGAAGGAAAAGGAGGTGATCTGCCTTGACCCCTCCCTCATGGAAGCCATCACAGGGCCACTCTATCTCCTGCTGTACCAGCTTTCAGAGGTGGCTTCATTCTCGAGACTTCCCAGGCTGAGAGGTGACAGAAATATCCAGGCCTCATCTCACCTCTGTTCTGGGACATACTTGACTCAGAGGAGCCGAGGTCCAAGGGTGCTGGCTTAGCCTGTCTGGTTTTGGTGGAAGAGTTGCATCTTTCTAAATTGATTAAATCTTTACAAAATTCTTATTTATGTTTGGACAGTCAGAGGAGCATCTGGTGGAAATTACCCAGTGAAGTTATTTTGTGAGGTTGAGTCCTGCTTGTGAAACACATTTGTGAGCAGTGGCTCAGGAACCCTAGCTTTCCCAGTGGTCTGAGAGGGCTCCCAAGGCTCTCTGAAGGGAGGTCTCCTGGAGAGCCAAGCTTCCGCTCTCAGGATCCGTCTGAAGGTCCAGACTGTTGTGGGGTGTGTGGGCCCGTGGGCGCCTTTCTTCATCGGGCTGGCCCTTAGCCCTGGGTGGCTAGATCGAGTGTGGCTCTTCCTGGGCGTGTGGCTGAGGAGCTGTCACTTTGCTTGATGTACTGTTGGGCTTTCAGCAGAACTTTAAAAAAAAAACACAAAACCCTAATTTTTTGTTCCCCTGTTTTCCTAGCATCCAGCATGTGTATGGAGCCCAGCACCCGCCTTTTGATCCGCTGTTACACGGCACGTAAGTGGCAGTCGATGACCTGTTTCTGCCAGCTCATTGGAGGTTCAGAGGGAGGGGAAATGTTCTCTCAGTCAGCAGATGGCTTAGCTGCTTGCCTTGGGAGACACTACTGTCGGCGCATAGTTCCCCCTGTAGCTGGGCAGTGGGATGTGGGGCCTGCAGGTCATAGTACCCTGCAGAGGGCAGAGAGCTGGCACTCCTGGCTTGAAGGCAGTGTGGCTCCAGACTGTCCTTATACTTCACCTGAACCCATCCTCAGTCCTGCACTCTCTCTCCTGGTGTTGGCTCTTCTAAGTATTGGGCCTAGCACAGTGCGGGTGTGGCCCTGCAGGGCTGCACCTGTCTGTCATATTTCTAGACTTATACTCGGGCCTCTGGTGTGTGCAGTCGAGCTTGGAGTCTTACGCTAGTTTGTCTAGAGTGTATGCAAAGGCCCTGTTCTCTGCAAGGTCCTCTTGCTCTGTACTGCTCAGCTGCTGCTTTAGGAGCCTGACTGAGGTGGAGGGAGTGGGAGAATGCTCTTTCTAGCCTTGGCACCATTGCTGTGCAGTTCTGTTCTGCTTGGTGGCTCTTGTCTGAAATGCCTCCCTCCCTATCACGCAGCCTGTGTAGTGCCAGGTCCTATTTTGATGCCCACACTTTGTGCTTTCCTTGGCATCCCCATCTAGACGAAGTGTCGTCTCCCTTGGGATTCTTTTTTGACTGAGTGTGCGCAATAAAGACACCTTTGCTTTGTAGCTTGCTCAAGTCTACGCCCAAGGTGCCCACCACCCCAGTGAAGGCAAAGCGGGTCAGCACCTTCCAGGAGTTTGAGAGCAATACCAGTGATGCTTGGGACGCCGGTGAGGATGATGATGAGCTTCTGGCAATGGCGACAGAGAGCCTGAACTCCGAGGTGGTCATGGAGACAGCACATCGTGTCCTGCGCAATCACAGCCAGAGGCAGAGCCAGCCCTCACAGAAGAAGCCAGAGCCACAGCCAGAGCCTCAGCCCATAGCAGAGCCTCCTGTAGTTCCCAGTGGTGACCTTCGCCTGGTGAAGTCTGTCAGTGAGAGCCACACTCCTTGTCCTTCAGGTAGGGAGGAGGGGACAGTAGAGCCATGGAAGGATTGGACTGTAATAAAGAGGGCTGTGTGCCTGATTGCACCAGGACTCTGGGCCATGAGAGCCTGTGTGGCCATCTTTCATGTGGATATGGCCCTCCCAGGCCCAGGAAACAGCCTCACTGCCTGTGGGCTCCAGATGGTCTTTTCTTTATTTGCCGAGTTGAGGTCGTCTTTCCTAAAAATGAAATGACAAGGCTTTTGGCTTGTGTAGGGGCCCAAGAAGAGGGACACTGGGGAGCACAGGAGATGGGAGATCCGTGGATTCTTCAGAAAGGAGCCAGGAGTGCCCGAGCATGCCTCCCCTGGGGAGGGGTGCTTTCCTTGTATTTACAGATGAGAAAACAGATCCATAGTAGCCTAAGGCCACCCTGAAAGGGTTTTTTACCTAGCCTGGTTTTCAGAACTGCCTCCTGGGAGTTGATGTGCTAAAACGTTACCATATTTTTAGGTGAGAAGCTGGCTTTACAAATACGGAAAATCAGTTTACAGGGGAACTGCAGTGGCTTTGAATTCTCTGAATCTGATGGGGATTGCTCTCCCACCTCCTGTCTGCTTAGTCTAGGCAGGGAGCCCTCTAGTGGCGGCATCCAAGGGTTGGCAGGAACCTTGGATTCTTCCGCTCACCCCCTGTGCTCATGGAGTGGTGGGCACAACTTTTCAAGCGCCCACCCCTGGCTGGACAGAGGGCATTGTTTTTGCTGGTGCCGGCCCCCAGCACACCAGATGGAGGAGCTGAGAGTGGTGGATCACAGGGTGTCTGGCTGGGGGTCCTCACCATAAACCGACTCACATCCGGGAGATGATGGAGCTTGGCGGTGTCACATTGTGGCAGCCTCTCCAGTACAAGTGAACACTTCTCAGGAAGCCTTGTTACTGGGGAAGTGGCTTTGAGCTCTTTGCTGTGTCCTGCAGATCTTGGGCTGAGTATCCTGTATTTGCTTTCTGGGAGAGGTTTTTTTTTTTTTTCACTTAATAATAATGGTATGTTATTGCTCATTGTATGGTTAGTACCATAGCCAGCCCCTTGGATGGTAAATTCTTCAAATTCCTCAAGCTTCTAGGAGGGAGTTGTGTTGTTCTTCCTTTACAGATGAAGTACCAAGAAGACCCTGAGCTGCTCAAGAGAGGTTGCCTTGAGGGGGGGGGGGTTCTTTGTTAAACCTAGGGTCTGTGGCTTCAGAGTTCCTCCTGTTAGTGCTGGCTCCTGCAGAGACCAGGAGTTCTCATCCGGAGATCTTGCCCCCATGGGTCAGGTAGCAGTATGCTGGATAGTGTGTGTTAGAGCTGGACCAGGGTGTGTGTTGCTGAACATGGTATGTGGGACAGGGATGCTGCTCAGATCTCTGCAGTGCCCTGGCAGAAACTGACCATTGCCCACACCCCCATCAGTGAGGCCAGGGAGTCCTGCACTGGAGCTAGTGAGACTTCTGCCAGGATTAGTTAGATTGGTCTTGGGGGCTGCAGGAATGTGTCTACCCAGGGCTTAGCCCCTGTTGTCATAGAGTGCTGCCCTCTGAACATAACAGCTCACCTCTTCATCAGGACAGCTGGCGCTGCTTGCAAGAGATTCCCCAAGACTGGACCTGATGGCTGTTGATGTTTCCTCATATTAGGAAGCGATGTGAGGGACACTGGATCCTTACCTCAGGTTCTCGTCACTGTCTCCTGTGCCTCCCAGATAGCTGTGTGTGACTCTGCCTCCATCAGTGTCTCCTGTGCCTC